ATCATACCACAACATGCCACTTAGAAAACATGTTATCTTTTGCTTCTTTGTAAGAACGAGCCCTGGGCCGAGAGCTGATTTGCTGAGTGAGAGTGGTCCTCTGTTTTCTCACTTTTCTGAGTGAAAAAGCTGATATAAAGATGTAAAGTCTTGTTTGATGCAAGTCTGTGAAACGAGTTACATTCATAAATCTAGTCTAGTCTCTTGAATCTAAACTCTTGAATGTTTATTCCGAAAGACGGATTTCGGACCAAGCTATATTTCTTATGATTTGTATTTCATTCAAATGTTGTTATTTCTTCTAATCCAAGCACTCATGTATGAAAAGTAAGTGGTAAAATCCACTAATCTTTGAAGGAGAGCTGCCCCAGAAGGCCCCCACAGTCAGCTGTTGACACGCAGTAAAGCGCAGACAGGTTTCAGCACCACGGACAGCTCTTCCTGTACTCAGAGTCCACTTTAATCACATACTTATCACTCTGCCCGTCCAATTAAGAAACCATAAATTAAAATTATTGGAAACCTGTCTGATAGTGGCTGGGACCATCACGCCGACAACAGTGACAACTCATTTTCCCATATAACCTCTAATTCAAACGCTTCCAAAGTCATTACAATCTGAAGGACTAATGTAATAAGAAAAATGTAAGTGCGGTGAATGGAGATATTAATAATTTATTCAGGGTAGACAGGGGAGTCGAGTTGAGCCTACGTTGAGGAGAAGTGATAGCCGTGAAGAAACAAGCTCGTCAGCATTCCCTCCCGCCTTAGTAGTCATTTCATTATCTCGTCCGTTCTCCGCCCCTTTTAAGTAGTGGAGGAGCTGCATATAGGGCTATTGACCCCTCTCTGAGTTAGTGGCAAGCAGCGGGACAAATGAAGTTTCCCCTCAGACCCCCTCTCGTATTAATATCATAATTACCCCCACCTCTGTGCCCCCGGCCGGCCAGCTGCAAAACTCCACTATTGGATTTGATGGAGAGGCATGGGCCCGGGAATTACATTCGATTAGCACTAAACAAAAGGAGAGGACATGGAGCGATGGAATCAATCAGAGCTACCAGGACAGACCTTGTGCTTTGTGTCAATGAGTGTCGGCCGCAATGATTCATTCAGCTCTCCTCAGCCACCACAACTTTATTAACGCAGGGGAGCTTCTAAATCATAACTTTGCAGACACGTACCGGGCTGAGTATTCACAATCATAATGACAAAAAGAGGTGGGCATAAACACTGCCAAAAGTGACACTGAAATATGAGTGCAATTGCCTGAATTATGTACATTTAGTCTGTCTTCAAACACGTCTTAGTCTGTCTTCAAATGATTTGCCAAAAAAATGAATTGTTTTTTTAAGAGACAAGCAAATGATGACTTGGAATGAGAGCTGGGTATCTCTCTTATGCTTCTAGACACAGGGGACTTTCAATTCAATACTACCCAATAACATATTTTTGTTTTGGTGTCGTATCTAATGCTCCATCACATATGAAAAAAAATACAACAATATGGATGCATGTTTAAAACAAATAGTAGTAATATCTTTAATAGATTTTTTAGAAATCGGAATTACAAATATTGCTACTTAAAATTGTTCTATGTAATATTAATACTAATGAGGAATTCTCTCAAAATAATAACAAATAATTATAGCTTTAATATTTGTGATATAGATGAGGTCAATTCAAAAGGTAAATAGTATTGGATACTGCTACATATATAAAGTATATTTATTATTTGCTGCTTTCCTTTTTTGGATTCTCCTGCATGTGCTAACAATGCTAGTGCTCTTTAAATTGAGACACAAAGTCAGAAAACTTTGTATCCAAATGGAGTTTACACTATACTAAAGAGTGGATCGTTGCGTAAATTTATTATCTGGAAGCTCTGATAACTTTCCTTAGTCCCGGCCAATTGTGAGAGCGGGTTAGACGTTGCAAAGTGCTCTAAAGCCACAGAGAGAAAGTGATGATGTGGCGAAGTGAAAAAGAGGCCCACCATCCCGTCCATAGGTCCTGTTCCCGTTTCATTACCAGAGCTTTAACTCAATCAGACTGGATAAGAGCTGGATAAAGAGGCGTGCTCCCTCTGGCTCAGGCCCCTCGCTCTTGAAACACCTTCTCCAAACTCGCTGTCCAACTTTCTATTGTGTACGGTCATACACAGACACACTGTCCTTTTCTCCTTATACAGACTTTTGATGTTCTTCAAATCTAAAAATCCATCTTTCTCTATCCATCTATCTTGCATTCCCCTCAGTATTTTTTCTTTCCTTTTTTTTTCTTTGGGGCTGAACTTTCTAAAAGTTGTGTCCATCTCAGTGTGCCTTTCATTCCAGGGCTGGCTCTCTCCTCCTGGATGTCCTCTGCGTTCCCTCCTTGTCAGTGCTGTGTAATAGGAGTTATTTTCATCCCTGTCTCTCCGCCACAGTGGCCGCTGGATGGCTGAATATTTACATTTTTCACTCACTGGTGACCTTTCCCAGGTGCCGCTCTGGGAGCCCTAGTCTCCTTGCTGCTCTGCTGTTGACAGACTACTGCCTGCAAATCTCATATGGACACCGCCGATGGTACACAGACGAGACTGGAAGAGGAAGGGGAAGGCCAAAGAACGGCAGAGAGAGGAGAAACCAGGACAGGAGTATGAGCTTTATGTCTGAAGTGGCTCACGGATACAAAAGTTTACTGGATGGCAGGCGCTCAGGACTGTTATTTGTTACCCTAGTGTCACCGTGGTTATAGTTTGTATGGGCTGCAATAAAGAGTCTGAAGTGAGATGTAAATCTCAGAGTGCAGTTTGGGAATTTCAGAATAAAACAAGGCCACGGCGGCAGAGACAGAGGTAATCTGAGCCGGGAAACGAACGTGAGAACTTTTCAGTGTCTACTGGAAGTCACATCAATGCAATAAAAGTAAAAAGTAATTTCATCTCATGTAAGACATGGATATTTTCAACAAGAGAAGTGAGAGCAAAGACAAGGATATTCCATTTTGACAGAAATATCATTGATTAGTTGAACATTTTCTGTCCATGTCAATGCAATCTGGACAAAGGTGTTTTTACTGACTTCAATACACTATAAACTGCAATGGGCCATTCAAAAAAAATTTAAATCTTGATTGAAATTACAAATGCAGAGTGGAACTAGTAAAGAACATTTATCATAAAGGTTTTAAGTTTACCCCCCAATAATTGTATAATACACTATATCTGTTATGTTGAATCAGAATAAAAATGTAAAATGTATTTATTTTGCTTTTTATGTACATTTCCTACCATGGGACACTGTACAATACAATATTGAATACGTATCGCTGGAGAAGAACAATCAAACAAACAATGATCAAGGATTTTGAATAATTTCAACATAGAGGCTGCAGGGGTGAGCTTGGGCGGGTCTAACCAGTGTTGTCTTTCTTTCTTTAGGACGGCCAAAATCCAAAATATTATTTACAGTGCACAAACAACAACAAAGAACAGCATAGAACAACCAACTCGGATTCAACTTAAAAGCTATCATAAAACTATTACTAAATGTTGTACCTATCTTCAAACCAATGGGACATAAATCCACAGCTGAAACATGATTATTTGAACCTCTGATGAATTAGCCAGAGCTAACATTGCAGAATACATTCAACAAACACTGTACATTCAAACATTAATCTGACTAAAATGTGCCTCTTCCACAATCATAATGACGTTCAATAAGGCAAAATGACTCTGGTTTTAATTTACAATACACTAATCGAATAAATGTGAGTGAATTCATAAAAGTGGCAGACATGCTTTTAGCCTGCCTGTGTGAGACGCAAATGGAGCCAGATAAAGGATAAAGACTTGTTTTGAAAGTGTTTTGTTTGCTCTGGGAACACTAATTATTTTGTTTTAAGCATTAGAGGGACTAGCTTTTTCTCTTTGTCTTTTCCCAAATGGTTTTTTTCTCCTTTTTTGCAAACAGGCATTTCAATGGAGTGCAGTTAGATTACAAGTGGATTTGTCTGGCCAGTCCGCTTCCTATAGCCGGGACATTGTGATGCAACATTTTAGATCGAGCATGAGAGAAATTATGCCACGAGCTAAAGATAGACTAACAGTTGTGCTCGACAATTCATGTTGTGGCTTGAAAATCAAAGTTGTTTTTGTCGTATTTTGGATATTGTGAAAGACAAACCAAATATATTTTTCACTCACTGTTAGTGGTTGTGTGAAGCCATTTATTCTTTTCTATATTCAAATGATAATGCCATTAAAAACCCCTCTTTTGATTTTAAAGCTGCCCATTCATCTCAGGCCGCCTTGAATGAATTACAATTTTGAGATTCCACAAATTGGTTTAAATACGTCATATTTTAAAATAGATAGATCATAATCTCCAAAATATGTCCTAAACAATGAATTCTATGACAGGTGGTCTACACATTCGCGCCCTATAGATATGTGCCATTTATTTACAAGTGAACTGTGTGTGTAGTGTGGTACGGTGTTGTTTATGAAGCCTACAATAGTCTAAGAGTAACCGCACACATTCTAGGCTCCTAGCACAATAATAGCTGTCATGCTTAACACAGATGATAAGATGTATGGGCAGGTGATCAAAGGAGCACTATTTACAAGCACTCCGGCCCGCTGACTTGATGAGCCACTGGAAGCACACCACAGCGCAGAGAAGCTCCTCCATCATGCTTTTACTGCCCATCACTGCAGCTGTTAGACAGGAGAGATGGCAAAGCTTTTAGCAGCCTCCGATAGACCTGATGCCGGACGCCCGTGTATGGGCATTGCCATCAGAAAAGTGAATGACTGAGAAAGATAAGCCAAATGGAAGCGAAGGAGAGAACACAGAGCTGAGAGGAGGCGGCAGCAGGGGAGAGGTTGATGTCTGCCTGCTGCCTGTCAAAGGAAAACGCTTCGGTTAAATGGAAACTGATATCATGCAACCCATTCAAGTGCTCCCGGGAAGGGCTGAGAGCCGGAGAGAGAATCAAAGAGGAGTTCTTACCTGGAGGAGCCAGTAGCACCTGCGGTGGAAGGTGGGGATGATGGACGAGTGGACGTAGCAGCCGTACAAACACTGCAGACAGAGGACACAAAGAACTTTAAAATGGTGTCATCGGCGTGTCCCAGTAATATTCAACTGATAAATGTCGGCATACGGGCTAACCCAGTATTTTGTAGTGAGAAACTTTTCCTTTAGATATAAATAGGCAGCACATCCTCAATTTGGAGGCGCAAAACACTAAACTCTGCCAGGACAAGTCTTCTTATCATCAAGCTTTCAGACTCAAAGTACGAGCACTACATCATGGACTCCAGTGCAATAGTTCAGGAAATAATGTTTGGATGTGGAGCTACCAAAGGGCTCTGTAAAAACTTTAAAATAGTTTTGCTTTTAAGTTAGTTGACAAGTTTCTTCTCAACTTCTCAACAAAGAGATTGCATTGCATAGTTGACTGTGTGTTAAAGGTACCTAACCTAGCCCCCATAAATAATATATGTTGTTTGTCCCATCATAGTCTTGAATAAATTGTGAATTAATCAGACCACAATTTGCTGTCTTAATCTTATAAGAAAGCCTAATATATATTGCATACTAGTGAGAAAGCCTGTGAGTCACTATTTGACGCTTTGGGCTAAGAACTGATTGACTGAGTGATGGGTAGGATATAACATAATAATAATAATAATAATAATAATGATAATAATGCATCGGTTTTCTATAGTGCTTTTTTGGACCTAAATATATGCATGTGAAAACCAAAGAAGAGAGAACCAAACTGTTTTTAGAGCAAGGAAGTACAGATAGATGTTAATAAATATATACAATGTTTGTAGCTTGAAAGTTAGATACCCTAAAACATGTATCTATATCATATCCTATTCTCAGACCAGATACAGTTGTCTAACAAGTATTTTTGGCTCTGTGGGACAGCAATGACAGCTGTGACCCCAGACCTCTGGCCTCCTTAGGATCCGTCCCACATGTGTGCCAGCAGTTGGCAGATGGTTCTCCCATTGTTCTTGGTAAAAAAACACAGGAGCCCTTTTTCACCATGTACCCCTCAGTCTTGTCTCTCCACATGCTCCCGCGCCTCCTGCTGCGTGTCCCGTAAGGAGAGAAGACCCTGACAGGATGATTCAGGTGCTCACCTCTCCTCCGGCTCATGAGGGGACCACGGCTCGCAACTAAAAGCGCACCATTATTAATATCCTTATCGTAAACAGATAATGCTATGTCTAGGGGCTCGTTATGCCGCAGAGAGACCTGATAATGCCTTCACTGTCTCACAGGCACATTTTTCACTAACCAGCTCTCAGAAAATTGTGCCTAGTTATCCCCTGGGTCCCTGTGTGTGAGATCCAGGGGCCCGAACTGTCTCTGACCTGACTCAAAGGCCAGTGTCTGTCTGGGTTTGTTTACAGAAGCTATTCCTTTGCAGCCAGAATATAGACTAGTTTGTCCTGATACAATATGAGAGGCGAACATGAGTGCAGTGGAAGCATCTGTGAGGAGGATTGTACCTTCTTATCTATTTCACAGCTAAATCAAAGGAAATCAGATCTAGACTATGCTGATTTCAAATGGAGGATGCAGTCAGACAGTCGGGAGAGCAGAGAGTATGTTTGTGCCAGACGCATCGATACACTTCACACACTGATGCTAACAAGATCAATAAATTATTACAAGTGCCAGGCATAGAAGAAATACATTCAATCCAATGTGAGATTAAAAACGGTGCTTGGAAAACAGGGAAAATAGAGTGTACAAAAAACAATTACTAATGTGTTATTATTTTAGTCTCTATAGGTTGCGTTCTTGTTCCAGAATACCAGGGGGCAGGAGCTCACACAACTCGCACGAGGAAAACATTCGAAAAAATATCATCAATTGTTTAGATCCACAAACCCACCAAAGAATCCTTCTGTCTGAAAGCACTTTCTACAGGTCAACATCATGTTTTTTAACATTGTCACAATTTTGAGACTTTTATGAGATACTAATTATTAGACCATACTCGGTATATGCTGACAAAGAAAGCATGTTCATGTGATTTGCTGAAGAATTACGGATACATTAAAAATAAACTAAGACCAGACATTTGTGGAGTTTCTTTAGTTACCAGGAAAGATTTTCAGCTGCCGTTCACAATATATTCCCCTATAGGCTCTTTAAGAATGATGTGATGTCACATGAACCTATTGACACAATGTATCATTATCATTACATGAAGTTATTATGGTTTAGTAATTGATGTAATCTGCATGTCTCGGTAACATACTTTATTGGTCAATCTATTATTTAAAGAGCACTTGAGATCCAATGTGCACTAAGTAACTTTTCTGTTTGAGTATCCATCACCCAATTGTTTGCATATATATTTTATGGCTTTGGAAAATGCAATCAAATCCATTTCTATGGACATAAAAGGAAGATACTGTATTCGTTTGGAAACACCCAAGCTTCCCCATGCATGTGTGAGGTCGCACAAGGTTCTGTCATAGAAGAGCAAGTTTACATGCTTTTACTCCGGAGGAATCAGCGTCAGCAGTGCTCCTTCTGCCAGCCCTGTCTTGTTTAACTGTCCATCTCCCAATGCACTTAAATGACTGTGTGAATGTGGCATCGGTGGTTTGAATGGGAAAATAATAACAAAAACAACTTGATTCAAAATTGTGGTTTTAATTTTCTCTGCAGTGTAATTGTGTCTAAGTGGTTGGGTACAGAGTGGGACCAGTTAGGAGGCCATTAGGGTTGGGTGAACACTGCTTGGAGGAGCAGGTGATGAATAGGCTGTGTGGAGTGTGGCTTGGGCTTGTCTTGTTTAACTAAAACCTAGTTAAAAAGAGCAGGGCCTACAGAGGAGAAGTGTGTGCAAACAGTCATTTGCCACCATCACAGCACCGTGATTAATTACAGCTGAAAACACAGGGCCATGCAAACACGCAAGAGGAGACATGATAGCTCAAAACATACACACCAGAAAAAAACACGACAGTGTTGGTTTATATTTCAAAGTTAGTTTTGTAAAGATGTTGATGATCTGAGAAAAAAATATATGTATGTAAAAACTTTGACAATTCTGAAACAGAGATCATGTACAATTATGTTCTAACATTCCAAAACCAAATTATTAAAACGTGGCAACAGAGCATCGCATTTTTGCAAATGTTAGAAAATAATACTATTTCATTTTTTGTTTGATCAAATGCTCCTGTGATCGCGTGTTCCGAGAGCCAGAGTTCTAGTTGGACAAACACATCGGATAATCAGGCAGTTTTTCAATAAGTCCTTTATAAATAAATGTAATACAAAGTTGCACTCTTCTCACATTTTCTTTTGATTGTTGAATTGGAAATGTTTCTATTTTATACTTCAGTTATACTTGTCTACTATTTTGCTTAAAGATTTCTGTAAGAGGGCCACTGTAGTTCGCCAGGCTTGTCCAGGGGCCGACATCCCGGATTGTAAAACTATTTAGACAGGATTCGGCCATTATGAGCTTTGAAATGAGCTAAGACGGAGATGAGGTTGGCTGAATTATGAATGTTTAGCACTGGGGTCTCCAAACTATAGCTCAGGAGCTATACCTCACCAAGCCTACTTCCAAGTAGAAATTTCAAATAATCTCAATATCCCATGCTTACAACAATTGTAGATATTTATATTTGTGCACTCATTAATGGATAATAGATGTGGTTACTCAAAGCAGTCCAAGACATGTCACAATCCTATAGGATTGACTATTTTTCCCTCTGGAACTTTTGTCCTGAAAAAGTCTCATCTCACCAGCTGAAATAGCACCATATATTCAGTGTTGTAACAAACATTGAATAACAATGTTGCTAAACCGAAATACACTAATTCTAGCTTTGGCTGAGCTAAAGTTGACTTGTGGGTATGATCTATGTAGTTTGGGTTGGCAAGGCACAGGACCACATATCATGACACAGAGGGCCGCAATTGGCCCCCGGGCCGTAGTTTGAACATGCCCATTCCTTACATCTACGTATGGAATATGATTTGAGGTGACTTGAGTGTAACTCTTGTAGCAGTAGCAGGCTGAAGCTTCTCTCCAGGTGTGTTGGCTCTCTGTGTGATGTGGTTCTAATATAAGTGAGGCAGATAGTGTGTGGATGCAGACTTGGTGGTGTTCTTGTTTTGTGCTCTACCTCTCATCCATTACAGCTGTCTCAAATCGGATGTATTCCTCCTCCCACTCCCATAGCGGTACCATCCATTACTCCAGGCTGGCAATGGACACACAGTTCCTCCCACTCCCACGGTGCTGCTAACATCGTATTACGACAGTCAACTAGAACCACTATCCAAGCGCACATATTTGCACCAGGCTATTTTGGAATATGCTAGAATTTAGGGAGGAGGGGAATCAATATGAACACATTTTTCTTTTAGGAAAGAAAGATTATGTATGAGCCATTTTTAGAGCTGCCAAGGAGCAAAGAAAGGTCAATATCAGGCTAGAATTTAGCATCGCGAGACTCCTGCCAAGACATAGAAAAATGATCACATACAAGTGGCTTGAAAAAGTACAACTGAACTTTTGTCAAGTTTATGACCAAAAATTAAGTCTGTAATAAACAATTATTTGATAATGGATTACTTGGCCGATTATTCTTTCGATTAATCAATTGGTTGTTTATATTCCAAAAGATCAATGAATATGACCAAAACTAAGCTCTTCATAGAAATGACTTTGCATTTGGTTGTTATCGGCATTTTTAAGTAAGGTCCAAAAAACACAATTAAGTTAATGATGAAACAATAGTTTAATAGTGATTTTCTTTTGAAAGACCACAATAAAGTAACATACAACTGTGGAGTGAAAGAAAAATGATACAGGATTGTTGTATTTATTTTCTAAACAGGGTTTTCATTCATGAGGTTTGCACAGAGACTGAAAGTGTTGTTCATTTGTCTTTACAAAACAACTCGAGCTCTGCCAGATTAGAGAGAGCATTTGTGAATAGCCGTTTTCAGGTCTTGGATTTGGATCTAGGCATTGACGGGGCGATTTGAAGAATAAATACACACTGGGTATACAGGAATGCCATTCCGCATTGTCTAATAAAGGATGGAATAATGTAAAGTAGAATAAGTGAGTAAGTAAGTAAGTAATATAGTGCATTTTTACATAACAAGGTCACCCAAAGCGCTTTACAATGTTCAGAGTTCAGATATTGTTCCATTCTCTCCACACGGCTAACCACTCAGCCACTGTGCCGCCCAAGACCAAAAAAACATAACATAACTAAGAGGGAGGAAATTAACAAATCCCTAATAACTAGCATAGGAGCTCCAGGGCTGATCATTTGCCCCTGTGACAGCTTTCTGTAGCCGTCGGTTGACTCTTTGTTGGGCGGCTCAGGATTGACAGGTGGGCTGCCTCTGACTGTGGAGCTGAGGTGTGAATACATTAGCCCCCAGGCAGCTTTCTCTCCACTCTGTTCACTCCATTTCTCACTCACACAGAACAGTGGCTCTGACAAACCAGTGCCAACTTAAGCACAACACAACTGTTGCTGCTGTCAGGCATGATTCAGCTCTGGCATACAGCACAGCCACAGATCACTAAGTCACATTATACCCACTCAGAGTTTGAGACAATGACATCACTAGAGTTCAGTTCTCACATTTACAGGGGTAAAGTTGTGTGTGGATGAAAGGGCATGTTCAAAGCAGCCCACACGGGGGCTTATCAGTAATGCAAGACGCATATCGCTTACTGCTGTTAGCGAGACTCAGGGCAGGCTCGCCGTCTGGGTGACAAAGTGACGGCAGCACAACCATTATTTGCTGTCTTTGGGCTGTGACAGATGACAGCGCGTCACACAGCTAGCAATTAAACCGTAATTATACACACATAACCTCTCATAAAAAGCTATTTCCCACTATGTAATTTGAAGGGTTCTGCAGCAAACAAACTTGAGTAGCAGTGGCAGTAAATACGCAGGTCCAAGTGGGCACAAATATTTACACCCCAACAGTATGAATATGCTATTGTGAGTGTTGAAGGTGTGAATGAAACACAACAGCACAGGGAGGAATTTACAAGCAGCTTGCCCATAATGTATTCAAACACTGTCAGCGCAACGGAGAGAAGAAAGAGTTACAGCGACGGCTGTCCTCCAAAGTCAGACACTGAT